GAAAATGTTAACTGGATATAACTTTAGCAGATTTGATTAACTAGGTTGTAAACTCACAGATTTGTGACTGAAACAATATAATCCATTGTTTAAGTATGAAGAAGCAAAAATAAACTGAACTAATAAATACACCCTGTACTATGTGAAAGATGACACAACTTAACTTTGACAATGATTAATCTGCAAAAATATTTACAGATCTCATCTTTCTATGCATATCTTTTCTCACTAGATTCATATTCTGCATTTAAGAGAATACTGTATTGCAGAGTCAGGATTCCATCCTTCTTATATCAATCAGAAATTGGAGGAGTTCAGACTGTAAGTCAAGGGTGTTTTATTATTATTTTTTGTGAATGAAAAGCATTGGACCTGCATGTATAACTGCAAAGTACACAATGGAAGTCTATGCAGTCTATTAGCCCCCCACTCTGACAAAGTCCGGGAGGGGGCTTGTAGTTTCGCCTTTGTAATTTCTTCAGTCCGGACCACAATTTTTGATGGCTGGACCGATTTTACTGAAACTTGGTACAAAGACATAATGGTCAACCATACATATGCACGTCAATTTATTTTTCGATTCGTTCAAATATGGCCAAAATGCCAAAATTTAGTCAAATTCGGCCCTTGTGTGTCGTCATTTCTCGAGATGGCTTGACTAATTTTGTTGAGACTTGTTACCAAAAAAGGGGACCACCCATACAGATGCACGTTGTTTTTATTCCCCTGTTTGGACGCAGTCCGAAAACAGGGACTTATGTTTTGACCTCCGTGCGTCCATGCGTCAATGCATGCGTTCGAACCTGTATCTTAGAAATGCCTTGACCAATCACATTTAAACTTCACACATACATCATACATGATATTATACATATGCACGTCAATTCGTTTCACGATCTGATTCAAGATGGCCGAATGGCGGCCATTTTTGTGCTAAAACTCATCAAAATCAAGCATTTTTCGACTGTTTACAGATGGATTTTGTTAAAACCTTGTATATACGTTAGACATTATAGGACCTTGATGCACATCATTTTGTTTTACAATTAGATTCAAGATGGCCGAATGGCGGCCATTTTGTGCTAAAAATCATCAAAATCAAACATAATTCTGCTGTTTACAGATGGATTTTGTTCAAACTTGGTATATACATTAGACATTATGGGACCTTGATGCAACTAATTTTGTTTTTCAGATAAGATTCAAAATGGCTGACTGGCGGCCATTTTGTTTTAATGAATGTGGTTCTCATGCCATATCTCTGACTTGCTTTTACTGATTATGTTCAAATTTTAAATATTCATTATACATCATGTCATAGATAGACAGATTTATTGGTTTGAAGATCCTATTCAAAATGGCCGAATGGTGGCCATTTTTGTGCTAAAAAATCATCAAATATCAAGCATTTATGTGCATTTATAGATGGCTTTCGTTCAAACTTGGTACATATATTAGACTTTACAGGTTCCTGATGCACATCATTTATTTTTCAGATCAGATTCAAAATGGCTGTCTGGCGGCCATTTTGCTTTAATGAATGGGCTTCTAAACCCACATCTCAGACTTGTTCCGTTTTTGAAATGATCAAATATGGCCATCTGGCAGCCATTTGGATTGTTAATCTTGGCTTTTGTCTGTCATTGATATTTCTCAGAGAGGCCTTGACTGATTTCAATGATACTAGGTACAAAGAAACAGTGTGGAGGTATACATATTCACATGAATTTTATTCCTGATTTGATCAAATATGACTGCCTGGTGACCATTTTGAATGTCAAAATCCTGTAAAATCCAGTTTTTTGGGTGTGTCCATCATTTCTCTGAGATGCCTTGGCTGATTTTGCTGAGACTTGGTACAAAGCTAGAGTCCCACTGGTACAGATGCACATTGATTTATTTTTTTAAGGAATCAATTAATGAGCTCATTTGCATATTTAACTATTAATTTGAATTCTTGTTAATATCTTGTGAACTAATAGTACAAATCAGACCAAACTTAGAGACTTGATTTGTCAATATTAGATATATGCTATGCAATATTGAGTTTCAACTTAATTAGCAAGCTCATTTGCATATTTAATTAATTTTTAATTTTTCTTAATATCTTGTGAACTAATTGTTCGAATGAGACCTGACTTGGTTTGGACTTACTTGATCTGTCAATATAAGATATGTGCTATGAAATATTGAGTTTCAACTTAATTATTGAGCTAATTTGAATATATAATTAATTTTGCAGTTTTGTTAATATCTTGTGAACTAATAGTCCAAATAAGACCAAACTTGTTATAGACTTACTTTATCTGTCAATATAAGATATGTGATATGCAATATTGAGTTTCAATTTAATTAATGAGCTCATTTTCATATTTAATTAGTTTTTAATTTTTGTTAATATCTTGTAACCAATTTTATTCGACTCCAAGCGAATGAACCTTGGTGTAAAATTAATAGAAGCATGTTGTGGCATTTTGTTGGTTATTTTACTGGCAGTTATGGTAGTCCTGCCAATAATAAACAGTTCTTTTCAGCTACCGCACTCTTACCTGACAAGGCCCCAAAGCAGTCCAAACCCAGTAAAGTCCAGTCTATTGGCATGTCGATTCTCATTTATTCAAAATGAGTGCACTTCAAATTTTATAGATTGACAGAAACCACTTCGTATATGCACATCGTTTTTTAATCAAGATAGCAGACTAGTGGCAGCCATTCTTTTAATAATATCTTGTGAACTAATAGTGCATGTAAATGCTATTTATTTAATATTGACTCATTTAAATTTTCATATTCAATTGATTGTAAATTTTTTTTTAAAATTGATGCAAATTTTAAACTGCATTAATCCAACTTTATATAGAGTTGCATTTTAATTCAAACATAATGCAACTATATCAATATTGTTCCACTGCTCATCTCAAAAACCTTTCATTGAACTTAACAATGAAACTTAGATCTCGTTGGATAACCTGCAGACCATGGAAACCATGCATATTAATTACCTTCTTTGCATAGGTTCTGAAGACAATGAAAACTATGCATATTAATTACCTTCTTTGCATAGGTTCTGAGGACAATGGAAACCATGCATATTAATTACCTTCTTTGTATAGGTTCTGCAAACCATGGAAACCATGCATATTAATTAGCTCCTTTGCATAGGTTTTGCACACCTTGAAAACCATGCATATTAATTACCTTCTTTGCATAGGTTCTGAAAACAATAGAAACCATGCATATTAATTATTTTATTTGCATAGGTTCTGCAAACCATGAAAACCATGCATATTAATTACCTTCTTTTACATAGGTTCTGCAGACCAAAGAAACCATGCATGTTAATTACCTTCTTTGCATATATTCAGTAGACCATGGAATCCATGCATATTAAATAACCTTGTGTGTACAGGTTTTTGCAGTTCTTTCAACTAATCTTTAATTTTAAATATTGCGTAGTTCTACTTTCAAATTCCTCCAATATCCTGTTCTTTTTTAGAATTCTTTGATGGAATGTTGTTTAGTATTTTATTTTGTTATCTGAAGTTACATTGTCCCTCACACACTTATATACAAAATCCTGGAGAATAGTAATTTCATTTTTGTTAGAACTGAAAAAAACAATGCTGTGCAAAGAGCAGTATAGAACAATGTACATGTAGGTAGAGGCTTCAGTCACTTTTAATGTCGGTAGCATATGGCCTCTAACTACATCTGGCCAACTAACTATACAAGTTGTGTTTAGATCTTTTAGAACACATGTTACAAGCAGATGTGTCTTGTTTTGCAAAACAGGTTACATAAACTTTTTGTTGTTTTTTTCTTGATTCAAGGAAAATGTTATTTGTTGATTTTAAAAATCTGAATAAACTGTAGCCTCGTTATAACGAACTCTTTAGGGAGACATACAATTAGTTTGTTATAGTGAAGGTCTATAAGTCTATACAACAGCATATGAAAATAAATATTTTGTTGTGGACATTTGGTTCTGCATGTTTTCTAAAATGGTTAATAAACTACTTGGAAGAGGAGATGATGTATACATAACTGAATGCTTATTAAATAGAACATACATTGTATGAGATACATACAAAGACAAATTGAATAGAATACGGTACTATTCTTTTCAGCGCTTGTCAAATTTGTATATTTATCCCTGTGTACTTGTGATTTTTAATTATGCCAATGATATATATGCACTGTAATAACAGTATGAATATGAACACCCCATGTACATGTATGATAATTATTATTTGTTTTTGTTTAGGGATTTACAAAGTGCCTCACATTATCGCATAGATATCATTTTAGTGAGTCCAGCTGATAATCAGTAAGTCAATTTACAATATTAATCATTGCATTCATATGTCAAAACGCAAAAGTTCCTTTTTGTATTGTTTTAATCCTGTTTTCCTCAATTAAACAATAGGTTTCAAATGTTTCAAAGAAATTCCTCTTTGAATGAAGTCAGAAAACAGACTATTAATTTCAGTTCTGTCTGCCTGTTTTGTGCATTTACGCATGTTTCTCAGAAATGCATTGACCCATTCCTGACAAACTTCGTACAAAAATGATACATTTTGTGTTACATATGCACAGCTAATTATGGCCGAACAGTTGGTATTTTAGATGTAAAATTGAAAAAGTACTAAATTCGTGTCCCTAAATTGTTCTCAAAGATGACTTTCAAGCAAATATGGTCTTATGACACTGTACTTGTACTTTATATATCAGGCTGCCATGTTTCTATATGTTCTCCCAGAATGCAATGTCTAATTAGGTTCAGTGTTTTAATTATAGTTACTAACAAGAATAATTTCACTTTTTGTATTTTGATAGGAATTACACAGATGTCTGGTTCTACGCTTTGGATAACTCTGATTACTCAGTAGTGCCATATGAAGATTTTGTTACCAATTGGTGAGTTTCAATTAAGATGTTTGTTTTTTTCTGATATAAGTGAAATATGTTTCATTGATACAATTAAATCTTTGAATGCCAAAGTCATCCTTTGTCTTATTTCACAACAATAAAACCCACATACCATATATGCTTTTACTATTACTAGTCAATTTACCTAGTACAATTAATCACTTGATATCATATTTTAATGATCCGGCATACAATAAAATGTTTTTTCTTGATGTGCACTTGATATGATCCAATTCAGAATTGTCATCAACATTATGAAAAATAAATATGGGAGAAATGTTGTACATTTTGTGAATATAAAGATAGAAGTTTCCTTGGATATTTAAATTAACATTTATCTGTACATACATTTATATTCTTTTAAAGGCAAAATCTTAAAAGCAGTTCACTAAGTAGTAGAACTAAACGCACTGATTGCATCTCGGATCCAGAGTGTTTTGAAGATAAGTGGAAAATTAATGACATTGTTGGGATTGAAGAAAAAAGAGAGAAACAACCTTACATGCTAGAATCTGTGGAAATTGCTGTTGTTGTACTTGCAATAATCATTTTCTGTGGGGCTTTGTTTGCGATATTGTTCCTGATCGTGACTGACAGGTAAGGCATTGTTTTTCCAAACTTTTATTGATATGCAGTAGCTCAGGAGCCTTCGTTAATTAAAACTGGCACACATGTGAAATTTCCATAACTGGTGCTAATTACCCCACTCCCAATATAATGAACTTTTGGAGTGCTAAATTTTGAACAAATGTTTTTATGTAAATTCGTGTACATTTTCATGTTGCTCGTTTTAGTTTTGCATATTTTTGGCATAATCATTTATCTCCCACAAATCAAATGACCTATGTTCGCGCCAGTCAGTTGCATACAACCATCAATGTTTGTAGAATACATATTCAGCTTTGTTTTAGTTTTACCAATCATGCCTTGGATTTTTATAAATCACTGCGCAAGTCTCATGCAATCTCACAATCAGTGTTAGTTGTACTAAATCCTATGATAAGTTAATCTACTATATCTTATCACAATAAGCATTCTGTCAAAATTAAATTCGGAAAACGGGTATTCAGGTAGGCATTAGATTAAAAGAGTCTGTTCTATTAGTGGTCTGAGTGTAAACTCTTTAATTTCAACTTCTGGAAATTTCCCTGCTTCACTGCTATTTTTATTTTACTCATTTATTATTTATTTTTATTTATTTAAAATTTGTCTCTTGTGAAGTTAAAACAGTTTGCAGTATGTTTTCACACATGGAGTCTTAAACATTGTGGTATTCATGTTCAATTATTTTTTTATGTAATGGTAGACGAGATCGTAACAAGCTCATGGATCAACAAGAAAAATGGGATCGAGTTATCAGAATGACCTCTATGCAAAATCCGTATGGTGCCTTGTAAGTATCATTATGTCACTTCTTGTTTCCAAAAATTGTGAGATTAATGACTTTTTTCATTTTTTCTCATTCACTACTCGCATCACATAACAGTTTCCTATTACATCACTTCCTGTTTTTTGCAAAGAATTGTGGGATTGATTATTTATCATTTTTCACATTGTTCCCTGCTTCCTAAAGCAATTGTATTATCAAAATACTACATTATACCATTCTCATCCGTCAATTATATTTTTCGCTTTGTTGACCTCTGTCAGACTTGCAGCTATTTTCGTCCCAAAAGAACAAAGTATATTTCAACTGTCCCTTATCTATTTCTCTGACCTGAGTCAGCATGTTTTTAATAGTTCAAAAGTATGTTCTCAAGGATGATGTAGTCATTACCCCCTAAGTATTTTTATATATTAAATTAGCCCTAAAATTCTAAAGTTTAGTTTGAGTATAATGCTTAATTGTTGTGTTCTCCTGATCGACTCAATATATTTTGGTATAGGCTTATAACGGATTTGTGGTATATTTTATTCTGGTGATTATTGTACTTTTTCATGGCAGAAGGATATGATAATGGTGTACATAGTGTGAGGTCATGATGGTTTTTCCAATGTCATAGATTTTGTGGTATTCTTTATTAGCTAGAATATTTCTTTTTGGCTGCAATAAACATCCCAGGCAAGTGGTAACAATCTTACATCAGTTACATCAAGGTCTGGTACTCAGCTTCTATATTGTGGGACCTTAATGCATGTAATATTTTTCAGACCTAATTTAAAATGGCCGACTGGTGGCCATTATGTTTTAATGAATCCAGTTCTAGGGCCATATCTCTGACATTCTTTGACTGATTGAACCCGTGGCCATTTTGTTTTTATTAATGCTTTTCCAGAGGAATATCTCTCAATATGGACAAGTACTTGTTTGAAGATCAGATACAAGATGACTGAATGTCAAACATTTTAATGTTAAAATCATAATTAAGCATCTATGGCACGTTTCAAGTGTGTCCTGATTAGATTATTTGTGTGCATCAATTTCCAGTAAATCACAGACAATGTGATTGCATTTTAGATGTGAAAATATAGTATGTGTATTTTATCGAAACAAAAAAGATATCCTATATTGATAACTAAGTTTTGGAAATATTACCATTCACTGACTTGTTGATAATCATCATTAACGTACGTTCTGACCCCACCACTAATGTCAGAATCAGAGATATATAAAAACTCTACAATTAACAAGTAAATTACTACCTAAATAAAAGCGTTTGCCTCTGCACAGAGACATTCGGCAAAATATTCAATGTACTTAGAGACAAACTACTGTACCACATTTGTATGACAAGATAATTTATGCCATGTCTGTTATATACATTTTCTAGCCATATCTTCGAATTCCTACGGCAAAAGATGTTATTTCATGACAGTTGCCTTTTATGCAATAAATTATAGTATTAGAGCCTTTTATTTCAACTCATTATAATATATAACATTGCTACATTAATCCTGTTCCCGTCACATCCTACCATATGCATGAATGATCATTATCATTGAATCATCAACTTTACAGAGGTGATCAAATGTCTATTGGTGGTGACCATGCTGGTGAGACTAGGTAAGTTTGATAGTGACGGCCTACTTATAAATGAGCTGTCAATTGGGGCACATTTTATCGTTTCATGTTTAAATAAAGTAACAAGAAATAACCAGACCATCATATTGAAATAACACTGTGACAATGACAAACAAAGACGTGAAGATAAAGTTTATGTGCACCCCAGATTGACATTGTATATAGGTGGATGTAGATCTGTTGATTAAGCTTGTTCACAAACATGTTGCCGACAATAGTATGTAGTTAAATTAGTGAACAGCTCTGCATTTATCATGGGTGCAAAGGTCTTAAGGGCAAATAGTTGTAGATTTATTGCATTATAGGGTTGGTATAAGATGGTTGTTAGGCGTGTTTTGGGAACGCTGTTCAGTCAGCATGTTAGTAGGTTTCTGTGCTTCCAGGGACTTCATTTCATTAACTTGTAAAACCAAAGTGCATATAAAATTGTACACGTGTACCATTAAATCTACCCTTGTTGCCAGAAACGACTGTCATGCTGATTATAAATGCAGCTCTGGTGTAGGTAGGGAATGTAGGTATTAGCTGAGGAATTTTCACAGGTATACATTATTAGGAGTGTTTGTCTTCTTCCTAACACCATCATAACATTAAATTGATTTTGGTTTGTTTATTTTTGTTTTCACAACTTTCAACTTTTGTTTGTCTCGTTCTACTTATCACGTTTCTTGTAATGTTAGTATATGTCTATATGTGAGGGTATATTACTAGCATTTTATCAGCAGAAACTTATTATTTATGAAGCAACAGATTTGGGAAATATAGTTGTTTGGTGCATCCTCAAGTCTTCACAGAAAAAAAAAAGTGTT